AAAAAAAAAAAAAAAAAAGATGGACGACTCCTAACTCGCTCGATCAACATCAACCAAAGAGTTCTGCAATCCCAAGGAAGCCTGAACCACCCAGACGGGTTTCTCACCCTTGGATCTTCGATGAGATCTACAGTCAATCGGACCAAGATCACCATGGATACGGTTCAATTCTGCTTCCTATCCTCTTTTAAACCTACTTACCGAGGTGATAAGAGCATCCCCGGTAAGTAGGACCCGGGGTCGAAGGCTCCATCTATTGGTGGGGAGCTACACCTGCTGGAAATCGGGTCCAGCTTCCCTGTACRATTGTAAAAGTGTATCTGCTGGAAATYGGGTCCAGCGTCCCTGTTTAGTGATGTSGAYGTATCCACCGGAAAGCGGGGCCAGCACCCCTATGCAAATCCACGAAACCCTAACCTAGATGCACTACATATGATGTGTATGATGTATGATATGAAGTGAAATGAAATGTGTAAACCATATCAGTCAAAGCACTGGGCCCGGTTTTCTCAACAAAAAAAAAAAAACAAACCCATATCAGTCAAATCAATGTGTGTATGCTTTTCCTATGTCAGCTTCTATTTCAAAAAAGAGCAGAGGCATTGATTACTTCCCTGCGACAGGGAAGGATTGACCTCGTGCCCATGAAGTATCATCATATCTRCATCCTTTGGGAAGGCRATCGGCSCTCGGTAGTAATCATACGAAGCATATATCCCCACAGTYGTTTCAGKATTAGGAATTGAGGGTTAGAAAGATGAGAGGGAATCAATCCCTAATCAATCCTTAATCAGCCCCATTCATCGCAGGGAGATTGCCTATCCTATCCCCACCCGGTGCCAGAAATRAAGAGACACTTCATCGTGGATAAACACCATGCAAGGGTGGAGAGGAACGGTGAATCGTAACTTCAGCCTCACGCCCCAATTCGCCATCCACAACAAGCAGCAGGTTCCCCCCCACTGCACTGATGGCAGCATCTTCCCCATGATGCTGAAGTTGGATGCATCAGCTCCCCTCTCAGCACCGCTGCTCTCGTGGTTATTGCCATCGCCGTCGTCTGGATTGTTGATATTGGTGTTGCCATTAGAGCTGTTGTTGATGTTGATGTTGTTATTGTTGTTGTTGCTGTTGTTGTTGTTGTCAGTTTCATCCTTCGCACCCTCCTCACCCTTTTCACCCTTTCTACCCTTTCCACCCTCATCCACGCCGGCGTTGTCATTGTTGTTGCTGTTGTTGTCGTTGTCTTCGTCGTCGTTGTCAATGTTGTTGATGTCCTTCTCGCCCTGCACACCCTTCCCGTCCTTACTGACATCGTTGCCTCCCATCATCCCCATCTCAGCGATAGTCGTCAGCCCCTCCTCCTCATTGAGGGCAATATAAACCCTCTCCTCAGCATCCCGCTGAGGCTGAGGGACATCGTCAACATCAAGAGATGTTGTTGTAGATGATGATATTAACATGCATGCTGTTGTCATCACCGGTAGTGTCACTGTTGCCTTCTGCCCCCACTCCACGTCCCACCCTCTCACTTCACCAACGCCATACTCCCACTCCCGGCGCTGATAATCCCTTTCTGGTGTGCGCTCCCCACACACCGAATTGATGGCCGCGAAGTAGCCAATGACGTCATCGTCCTCCAGCGCGCCTGTTTCGCTATTGTCAACGTCTCCTTCTTTCTGCTCATCGTCACCAATCACGCCCTCCAAGTAGACTGCGGAAAGGTTTGCGAAGTAGCTGGCCACGTCCACCTCATCATGCCCATCGTCCTCTCCATACCAGACGTCATCATTAGTATCATAGATCTCTGTGTAGTAAAAACTATCTCCACATTGCAACTCCCCATCCACCTCCATCTCGTTCCCGAAGTGCTGCGCCGCCACGTTTATCGTCGTCTTCAATCTCTGCTGGCGGTACCCCTGTCCGCGCGTCATGGACAGCCACGTCACCAACAGCAGACACCACGTGGCCAATCAAGGAGCCACGTGTGTGTGCTGGGCGCGCGCACAGGCCCAGCGTTCGAGGAGCATACCTCCTCAGGCGCTGGTCAAGCCTGGGGAACCGGGCCTCGCCGGTCCGCCAGGGGCCGGGGCGCTAGCGATAGCGCAGCGACTATCCAATTGACCACCCCCATGGGTTCTCGAGTATCTCTGTTGCTTTCTGCTTCCCATCCTAATGATGCCAACTGCAAGGAATAGCACTCCCACCACTGACGGTGGCACTCACACTGCTACTCCGTAGTGCCGCTACCCGTACTTAAGAGGCAAAAACTCCAACAGATACGCCCCAGTTATTCAATGTGCTTATCAACACAGCCCCAAAAACAATGAAATGACCCTAGATTACGACTGGATACAATGCATCATGCTAATCCGCTTCAGAATCTGGCCTATACAAATGGCCAGGTACCCTAATCGAAACCACCCCGGATACCCATTTCTTCACAAAGTGTCGTAGCAGCATAAAGAACTACAAGGAGTGGCAGGTGTACGCTGCACAAGAATCCCTTTTTTTTTTTTTTTTTTTGGAGTTGTTCGAGTAGCTCGCGTGAGAGCTGGAGTGAAGAATGAGTCAGACCATCTTGAGCGCACAAGACAGAACATTTTGTAAATGCCACTGCGATTCCGTCTGCCGAAATGAAGCATGCTGAAGGTAGACCTACAAAGGAGGACGAGTCTCGACCTTGAATTCGACCTGCTGCAGGCGCGAGAGGTCCCGGTCTCAAGTCCATTATCTCTCCTACTGCCTGCTGACAGGAATCTTCAAGTGGGAATGACGCCCGTACTCACCCTTGAGATATGGCATTTGTGTAATCATGTACACTACCCAAGAAGCCTACAAGTAGTCGAAGCCATCTCAATGAACAAGGGACCTTGACGTTGCCGAGTAGGAGGCGCCAGCGGCTATATTCATTGATTTGTGCCAATTTGTGAGGATATGGTTGTATCTATGGGACGCTGGACCCGGTTTCCAGCAGGTGCTGCTCCCCACCAATAGATGGAGCCTTTTTCCAAAAAAAAA